TCCCCGGAAAAGAATTGAGCATTGCAACCCAAGTCTTCCCATAGCAAGCCTAGACAAAATGGTTTAGCGCTTTACTGCTATCCATCCCATGACTCACCATTTGTAAGACCATCATCTCCAAGATGCATCAAGGTAGGGACTCTTGATTGCATAATATGAATATGAGCAATAAGTTAACACTTCGTTGCAAATCATCTCTCCAAGAGAAAATGATTTACGTGTTTGATCCTTCGTCCCTGATGACTCTCTTTTTGGTCTCATCTTTGACTAAACCTCAAACTTGCATTCGCACTGCCTTCAATCCAATCCAAGAAAAGTTTATGAGAGAGCACGACAATGACTACTTGAACCAATAGACTAATCCCTACAGTCTTGGTTGATTCACTTGTATTCATGCCTAGGAAGGATCCACTAGTGCCGTGCTAAATAGCTACGGACCAGCCTATTTGCTACTCATAACAAACCCAGGGAAAGTTTGCTTTCACCTACGATACATGGAACAACTCATGGAACCACCGATAGGCTAACATTAATCCTGCCAACTCAAAGTGTAACCTCGAGTTGCTAATGTGCCTCACACACGAGCCCAAGCGTAAACTCGTGCTAACAAAGCATCTCAAATCCATCTTATGAGCCCAAGAGCAAGCTCACATCATAAGGTACAACAAGGTAACCAAATCCATACTCAAGGAACAAATGTGAACCCTTTGCACCAAACGTGTACCCACTCGGATCATCGTTTTCATCTCTGCATATGCAACAAGACTAGTTACCCAATCTCATTGAATAGTACTCGCTGAGACTCATCCTCTGATACCAAATGTAGCGCACGTGGTTTTGACCCTTTATCATATGGTGATTTACCATAGGATAACACCAGTGGAACCTAAACCCTCTTTGTGCCACGTGACAGATGCCACGTGTCACATGCCACGTGTCCATAGGAACCTGAGGTTCAGGGCCTTGGGCCACTGAACGAAGGAACGGTGCCAAACTCCCAAGCATGGAGCCAAGGAGTGATGGAACCGAACCACAGAGCAACTCCCGAGCTTAAAGCCCAAGGAACGAAGGGACAGGAGCCCGGAGCAACTTGGAACAGTCCTAGAGTAACCAACATTCCAATGCCAGGACCAGCACACAAAACAGAGCCAAACGGAGTCTAGCGCTATTTCGGCATACCGGTGGCCTAACGCGAGAACATGGGTACTCCACCAGCTAGCATGGAATGGAACTTGGGCTTAGACCCAAACCAGACGTAGAACAAGGACAGGCACACAAGCGAGAGCTAGACTATGCCTCAGGTTGGTCGGCCATGCCCAACTTACCCACTATCCCTACTATACATTTGGAACCCCCTACAGCCCCCCCATTTCACCCCAAGCCTCCCTTAGTATCAGGAGTTAGTCTCTGGGACAAGCTCGAAATTTACTAAATATGGAATGTCCCTAGATTGTGAATTTGGACATGGGACGAACACCATTATGTTCAGACCGATCTCTACATTCCATAGATATGCCAATGAGCAAATCTGAACACTTTCCATAAATAGCATTTGGGACCGAAATGAAACTAATACAAAGGGCATGATAGCGAGGGTGTTTGGCAGACACGGTAAGCTATCATTTAGCAATATTGAGGGACCAATCTCAATATCACAGGGGTTCCCAACACTAGCAAGTGCAAGTCAACGAATGAGTTTCTCTAACCAAGTCAAGTATGCTTGACAAATAGCACGTAGGAATTCCGTCCTTATGCCCATCTGGTCAAATGCACACACGAAGACCAATTTCTCAACTAGCTTAGGCGGAGACTGATAACGGGCCTAGCAATATCGACCTCCTGCCATCGTGGCAGTAAGGTAAGAGTGTCCGTAAGGACTAGCCGACAGGTAACTTTCGATACCTGAAGTCACATTCGCGACAGATACGACATTTAAATTCATGTCAAGGTGCTCTCCATGTGCTTGAAAAAACTTTAGGAGGATGTAACGAGAAGGATTCCAAGCTAATGGCATTACTTGCATGTGCTTTTTGATGGCTTACAATCACTGGACATCGAGTGACTAGGAGTGGAAGAATTGGTGACAAAATAAATGGAAAGTGTGTAAACCTTATTGTTTTAGTCATTTTCTTGCAAAAGAATTTTGAACTAGAGAGGATAAATGTTGGTGATTTAGTGTTCTACATTCTTTTTCAAGTGTTTTAGGTTTTCATTGTGATGAAGCAAGAGTAGTTACAACATTTTACAAAATTCAAATAAGATCTAGAAGATGATAGTGGTTGAATTTTCATATTTATAGGAATTTGTTGTAGGACTCGGAGCATTGCTTCCTGGCAGACATTTTGAATGAGTCATGTGTTAAATGTTCATCACAATAGTGAAATAGATTGTGCTCCCTATTTCTAACTAAGAAAAAAATTATATAAGAGACCACTAAATCTCATTACCAAGAGAATCACAATAAATCATTGTTCTATTGTTTTATTTTTTAAAGATGTATTGTTCTATTCCAAAGTATGTACAACTACATCTTCTCAAATTGAAATGTTCTCTACTTCTCCCAGTGGAGTTGGGTCCCTATTAATGTGTGTGTCCATGAGCCCAGTGTTAGAGTTGGCAGTTGGATAGTGGAGGCTTTACCACAATCACCTGCAAGTAGAGGTGTAATTGGCAGCTTCATTCTCATTCACTGTGCAGGCAGGTTCCCACAGTCTTAGAAGGATGCCCTTCATAGCATGACTCAGTAGCGAGAATGTCTTGGTAATTGTTACCAAAGGTGGCCAGCACTAAGTGAGTAGGTTGTTATTGGTGACATGGTATGTGATGTACTACTAGAGCCATCATATTGGCTCTTGCAATGAATAGAGCTGGCTGCTTGGAAATGCACACTCTAGGTGAGGGATGTGAAGCCAATGCTGGTGGTGTAGGCACCAAAGAAAAGGCCAAACAACTGCCTGTTGCTGATGTCATTAGCCTCTGCCCACCACTGTTTGTTTTACATGGCTTCTAGCTCACAGCTAGGAAGGGACATTAAAGTTCTACTGTGCTTTGCTAAAAGACACCAGGTTAGTATGTTAACAACATAGGCCTTACCTCCAAAGTTGGGCACCACCATCTTCTAACTCACAAAGCCCAACTTAACATACACACTGACAGTAAAGTTGCATGACTCCCTTTTACATGCTTTGTTTTTCCATCCCAAGCCAAGGAATAAATAAGCCTTTATTGCACCATAGGATGTCATGAATTATTATTGTAATTTCTTTGTACTATACCATGTACTTTGATAAGACAATCCTAAGAAGACCTCATTTTGGTAATTTTTGAAGGAAATGAGCATATTTCCATCGCATCACTCCACCAAGCAAGATAACAGTAATACAATTACTCATTAGCATTTAGACCCCAGATCTGTTGGGCAAACAAACATAAATTTTGAATGAGCGGCGGCAACAATGAATTCCTGAAATACCATTATACTCTTTCTTTCAGTTTTGAAGTTATGCTTAATCAACTTAGTCGCAAAGACTCATGGCAAAGCTCATTATCATTGGATAAATTGCTAGAAGACTTGCTAGCAGTGGGGAGGATGTAAGGAGAGAAGTAATGGCAACACTACTATATTTCCTCCTTTTCCCCTCTTCCTTTTTTTTTTTTTTTTTTTGTGATAAACTATGGCCTATCAGCCTTAGAAAAGGACAATCCCAAGATCTTTGCCAGTAATTCTTCCCCTCTTTTATATGGCAAGAGTGGATGCAAGTTCTTAGCATTTGAATCATGCACCTACAAAGTTATTATGACTAACTTGTAACATCAAAAGTTGTAAATGACTATTAACACTTTTTTAGACATGGCTATCTCTTTTACTTTTTTCAGACTTACATGTTGTTCTACTCTAAAGTATATATAACAACATATTTTCATCTTTACTTTTCCCAGCGGTGCTGGGAGCCCTGCTAGTAGGAACTTAATTCAATTTTGAGTGAGGCAAGAATATTTTCAAAGAATATTCAATACGGTAAAAGAGTGACTGAAGGGTAGGATCCTAATATCTTCTTGGCATGACTCCATAAACCTTTTAAACAAGAAAAACACAGCAAACAATGTCATAAGAATGATGAATGACTTGAATCCCAGGAGAGACCCTCCCTCTTCAAACTGATCACTCCTTTATTTTCGATTGAATATTTGAACTCTGTTTCGTTTTGTTCCTGAACCAAATATCCCTCAGCGACTAAAGCTTCCTGGTCTCCTGGATTGGCTCTCTGGCTAGCCTAGCATGAACTCTCCTCTCTGTTTTTCTGTTCTTAAATTTTCTTGGTCCATTGTCTCTCACTTTGATTCTATCCATAGGTGACAGAATGTCAGTCAGTCCAATACTTTATCAAACTTTATAAGCTCTGCAGTGTTAAAAAACCATGTTCCAAACAAGCTTCAAGAAGTAACTGTCAACGCATTGATGCGGGCCTTGACACCTTGCTAAGGAGGATAACACGGTTGAAAAGATCAAAGATTCAGGTGAAATCTGAACTAGGAATATGAACCCATAGCAGTCTGTTTCGGTCGCTATCACCTTGATGCCATCAGCAAGAGTGCCAACCCGATCTTTTTGATTTCATATCTCCAAACAATCACCATGCTACCTTGACGAAAGTGCTCTTCCCACTCGGAAAAGGTCTCAAAAAACAACAAAGAACCTGGCTGACCGAGAACAAGAGTCATGGAACCTCGTCCTTGAGAACCTTGATCTTGCTGGATTTCTTCTAGGAACGAGCCAGCTTAATACAAACTCCTGGGAGATCCTGACCCTGGAAGAGGAGGGACCCTCTTCACTCCTTTTGATTGAATTTAGGGCTATATATATATATATATAAGCCGATTCTATCGTCATGATCGCAACCTGGACAACGCGAGGGCAATCCTCGCCAGGATGCCGCAGCACGACCCAATTCTAGGCACTTCAGAGTATGTAGACGTTTACACCAGACATTGCAACACTGTTGACAGCTGAAATGAACTTGTACTTGATCTTGGACGATGCAAAATTGATGAGGTACTGGCAGTCAGCGGCTTTGGGTGAGGTGTAACAGCATCCACGAGATGCCGTGAGATTGTGCTCCAGTAGCTATTGCTTCTCCCAAATTCCTCCCCTCGAGCGCACTACACCAGCTTTTCCAGTTCCATATCTGCGGCGCAAGCTGCCAAAGCATACGAGAAACTCCACCAAGCCACCCGTAATAAGTGTCTGCTACCCAAACCTTGCCTCGTCTGTCAGCTTTGCTGCCATCACCTTATCGTCTCCTTGATGCTCATGAACCTCAAGCTCCATCACGTCCAACTGGCTAGCTTCCTCCTCCCAGAGCGTAGTCAAGGCGTCGAACTCGTCACTATCCCAAGGATACATGAAGACTGTCTGAGCATTCTTCACGTTCTGGGGATTTGGAGATGTTGCAACCAGTACCTTCCGGCCGCGGACGTCAATAAACCCTAATTTTTGCAGAAAGTAGTGTTCTTCAAGTAATGCAGCGCTTCCTGAGCACTCCGGAACCCGTGCCGTAAAAGCCTAGCCCGAAACTCCTTGGCCTCGGGTGACAGATCAGAAAAGCTCTCCATAAGCCTTCCAACAAGATAGAGATCCGAGGACCGCGTGTAGAGGCCGTCAACCAATGTGTTCTCGTCCCAGGCGCGAAGCCAGCAGCAGCTCGGCTTACAGTCTGTCTTCCACACCGTCTCAAGATCGATGAGCATCCAACCCTCATTACTAGCCGGACACTGGAGGACGTTTTTCCATCTGATGTCCCTGTGAACCAAGCCCGCCTGGTGCAACGCATGCAGCCCGTGAAGCACGTCCTGCATGGCCGGCCACAAGTCATCTTTACGAGAAATTATGCGCTCGTATCCCACCGAATGAATGACCACACTGTATCGCTCACCCCTGACTTTGACGTCGCCGGACACCAGCCCCACAGCGCCAAGCCCGTATGCTCGCGTCACCAAAGCCGTCGTAGTGAATCCTTCCGCAACATGCTGCGACCAGGAACGAACCTCCTTGATCACCTTGGGATAGACGATCCGCAGAGTCCTGGCTATCTGGCCGAGGGAGCCGTAAGAGGCGGGAGGAAGCACGTTGAATGGCCTCGGCAGAGAATTCATCTTGCTGTAGAAGTCTGAGATTGTCAAGGCAATCCGGAGGAAGTTGACGGAGAGTCGCAAGCATGTTGCCTTGTCCCCGAGTGACACCATGTTTAAGCGCCCAAACAGATCATCTGGTGCATGTTGCCCATGTCTCACAGCCCATCCTGCCATCTCCGGACCTGCTAGTGCTACCCCAAGCATCCACTGGACGGGTCCATAGTACTGCGGTGGAAGCACGCCAAGTTTCTTTGTCAGGTCCTGGAACGCCTCTTCCAGAGTTGCCCGTTTCTCCTCAAACTTGACGCAGAGCCTGTTCGAGATCCAAAGCAGCAAATCCGGACGGGCGTCTGCGGTTGAAGCACCAGAGAGCTCGGTGACACTCCGGTTGAGCTGAACGCTGGTGATCTCCGACAGATACAGCAGCTCCATCCACAAGTTGCAAAATGCCGAGTCCCAGAAACTTTGATTCTCGGACATGCAAAACGCCACCCTCGAGTTCATGAAGGTGGTGACGCAAGCGGAGATCCTCTCGGCGGGGTACTGGCTGGTTGGAATGAACTGAGTGGCACAGCTCGGATCCAGAGTTGCGTATGTAGCAGGACCAACAGGAAGCGGCAAAGGCAGTGGCTCCTCCAACGCTCTCCGCAAGTCGGCAACTCCTAGGACAGCAAACGGAAATGGGCGTAACACAGTGCGAGCCCATTCCTTGCTGTTATCACAAGCATCTGCGTGAAATGCATGAGAAGAGTAGCATGCCAGACAAAATCAAACCTGCGAAGAGCGCCTTGCGGAGATGGAGCTCGAATGCTGGGGGAAGCGGTGACGCAGGATCTGGCATAGGAATTTCCATCCATCCCTTGGAGGTAAGGACCGCGTCCACTGTGAGAGCCGTCTTGAGCCAGCTTGCAAGCTCGGCCGAATCCTCGATGTCGAATAGCACGGCCCGGAATGCTACCTTAGAACGAAGATCGTCCACATTCCTACCACGCTCCTCCGCCGGATGCACGTACACAAGGCGCACGGGAATCGGAAACACATCGTCCATTGCCTAGAACCCTAACCCTATAAGCTCTCCTTTCCCTCCATTGACTTTAAACCTTAACGATGTTTTAGTCTTTTAGGGTTCTTAGTTATTTCAGGGTTTTTTCTATCGACTCTATGGCTGTAACTGTGGAGGTGAAGGAGCTCTGCTTCACGTACCCGGGGATCGATGGAAATGCCGCACCAGGAGCAAAGCCGCTTGTCCAGGGATTTTCCCTCACGCTGCGAGCCGGGGATCGATGCTTGCTCATCGGCGCCAATGGGGCAGGTATCGCATTCTTCTTCGTTTTTTCGGCCAAGAATCACGAAATATCGTGAGGGATTCGGCAGGGAAGACTACTGTGCTCAAGATTATCGGTGGCAAGCACTTCGTGCATCCGGATATGGTGCGCGTCCTCGGCAAATCGGCCTTCCACGATACCTCCATCACTTGCTCTGGCGATCTATCGTACCTTGGCGGGGAGGTATGATAGATACCTTTTTTTTCTCCTTTCTTCTCGGAGAGTTTTGAGAATTCTTTGTTGGCCAGTAGTGGAGGCGAGATGTCGCGTTTGCGGGATTCGATGTACCAATCCAAATGGACATCTCCGCGGGAAAGATGATTCTGGGAGTAGCTGGTACCGACGAAGAGCGTCGAAAGAAGTTGATTCAGGTGATCATTCGAGTGTCTTCTTTTCCTGGAACTTGTTTTTTTCTCTCTGTGCATCGTTTGTACAGGTTCTCGACATTGATCTTAACTGGAGAATGCACAAGGTCTCTGATGGCCAGCGAAGACGTGTCCAGATTTGCATGGGTCTCCTGAAACCATTCAAGGCAAGTAACCCACTTCAAAGATGTTTCAAGCTTCTTCTGTTTCTTTTCCTTTGTTTCAGGTGTTATTGCTAGATGAGATCACCGTCGACCTGGACGTGCTCGCGCGATCAGACCTTCTCGCGTTTCTCAAGTCCGAGTGCCTGGACCGTGGAGCAACTATCATCTACGCAACTCATATCTTCGACGGGCTTGAGTCATGGCCTTCTCATATTGTAAGCTCTTTGATCTTCATCTTTGTGCATCTCATTCCATTCAGGCTTATCTGGCAAGCGGTAGACTCCAGATCATGAAACCTCTCCACGAGATTCCAGAGCTCAAGGAGTTATCTCTCATGGTATGGAAAGCTTGCATAGCAAAACTTCCATTATTACTAACTCAATGGAGCCTCGACAGAGAACGGTTGAGAAATGGTTGCGGAAGGAGACTAACGAGCAGAGAAAGGCCAGAAAGCTCAGGCTAGAACAAGGGCTGCCAGAATTTGAGGACCGGATCGAAGGTAGCCGTGTCATTGGCGGAAGAGAAAAGGCGTTACCACTGAACAACGGATGGATCGAAGGCAGGATGACGTCCAGCCTTGCAGGACAGGAGGATCCTTTCAACCTTAGCTCCAACCGAGTTCTTCGACTGTGATGGTAACTTCCAGTAGTTCCAGCAGCGACAAATAAGCTCAGCGTGTTTTTACGCAATCTTTTTCATGGATAGATCGCTCGTGACGCTGGTCCGAAACGCGAGTGATTTGCTCGAGTTGGCGAAGGCTCGCGAGCTCGTTGTTTCGAGCGGCCACGGCGACGATCGCTTCCTGGCCAATCTCCTTGTCCAGAGATACGGCAAATGCGGCAGCGTGAGAGACGCCCGGGCAGTCTTCGATGGGATTCGCTCGAGAAACGCCTTCTCCTGGGCGATCATGCTGGCGGCCTATGTCCAGAATGGACACGACTCGGAGGCGCTGGATTTGTTCGCCCAGATGAGCAGAGAAGGTGCCCAGCCGGACGAGTTCGCGTTTGCCAGCGTTCTCGGGGCGTGTGGGAACCTGAAGCAAGGCAAGGCAATTCACGCACAGATCGAGAGCTCTGGATTGAGGCCTGACGTCGTGCTTGGAACTGCGCTCGTCAACATGTATGCAAAGTGCTGGGCAGTGGAGGAAGCAAAGGTGATGTTCGACCAGATGGCCGAGAGGAACGTAGTTACGTGGACAGCCATGATCACGGCGTTTGCCCAAGGTGGGCTTTTGCACGAGGCACTACAGGTGTTGAAAGGGATGGACTGCGAAGGCCTGAAGCAGAACGACGTGACTTTTATCAGCTTGTTGGGAGCTTGCTCTTCTGCTCAAGACGTCCACCGAGGCCGGGAAGTTTACGCTCGAGCAGTGGCTTGCGGCTACCAGTCTCACACCGCTGTGCAAAACGCCGCCGTCAACATGTTCGTCAAGTGCGGGAGCGTTCCCGCTGCGAAAAGTGTTTTCGAGGTGATGGAGACGAAGGATCTCGTGTCGTGGAACGAGATGATCGCGGCATTCACGCAGAAAGGCCTCGACGACGACGCCGTGGAGCTTTTCTGGAGAATGAACTTGGAAGGCTTCCGTCCCAACGATTTCACTTTCAGCAGCATCCTGGGCTCCTGCTCGGTCGAGCAAGGTACTGTAATCCACCAGTGCATTGCTTCCAGCGTCTTTACCTCCGATACTACGGTGCAGAACGCGCTGCTCAACATGTATGCCAAAGCCGGGAAGATCCAGCGCGCAAAGGACTTGTTCGATGGGATCCAGAAGAGGACTCTGGTTTCCTGGACGACCATGATAACCGCGTACTCTCAGCATGGCCGCCACGAGGAAGCCCTCGAAATCTTCAAGAACATGATCCTGGAGGGGTTTGAGCCGGACGATATCACCTTCATCAGCATTCTCAACGCTTGCTCCCATGCGGGACTGCTCTACCAAGGTTGGTTCTACTATACGTGCATGTCCGAGGATCACAAGCTCCCCGTGTCGCAGGAACATCACGCGTGCATGATCGATCTGCTCGTCAAAGCGGGCTGGATGAGTCATGCGGAGGACTTCCTGCGGAGGCTGCCCAGCCATTCCGACCCGATCCTGTGGCGGATTCTACTGAATGCGTGCTCCATGCACGGTGAAGTGGCGAGAGCAGCGCGGGTTACCGAGATCATGTCCAAGCTGGAGCCCAACGACGACTCGCACCTCGTTTTGCTGTCCAACGTGTACAAGACGAGCTTCTCTCAAGGTTTCAGAGTCCTGGGCGGTTGAAGGATGACAAGCTGCTTCGTTCATTCTACTTAGCAGGAGAAGTATGGACCAGGAATTCGTTCATCACGCAAACAGGCAAACATTCACGTATTACTAACTGTGTCTTCTTGTCTTACAGGAGTAGCCGCTGCCTCTACCTCTGGCGCGGCTTTCTGTTCCATGCTCTCCGGAAGGTCAGAAATCTGTTCAGACGCCTCAAAGAATTCTTCCGGTTTGACTTCTTCCTGGCCTTGTGCAGCGGTACTCGCATTTACTGAAGTATCGACGTCTGGTGATGGCTCGACGTGTAATTCTCCAGCATCCAAAGATACGTCGGCAGCAGCAGCCTGATCACGAGCAGGTTCGCCTTGTCCACTTTCTTCCTTGCTTTGGGCGTTCCTGGCCTCGTCAGGATCCAGAGCCCCAAAGTCCACCTTCTCACTTGAGGCTTTATTACTACCCTCTGCAGCGTCCGCCGTACTTCGAGGTTTCGATGCTCCCGTCTCATTCGTGTCGACGTTGTTTTCAACCTGCGCAATAGATATATCACGAGTACAAAGATATCGTAAATCAATCGTACCTTCTGAAGGATATCGGTGTCTCCACCACTGTCGCCTACAGGTTCGATGCTCTCGCTGTTTTCATCCTTGCCATTGTTTCCACCAGGTACTGCTTCGTTTCCAGCTTCAGCCGCAGCTTCATCGTTTTCAACTTCATTCTTACCATGAGGTACTGCTATTGCTTCGTTTCCAGCTTCAGCAGCTTCATCGTTTTCAGCTTCATTTTTACCATGTGGTACTGCTACTGCTGCTTCGTTTCCACCTTGAGCCGTAGCTTCATCGTTTTCAGCTTCATTCTTACCAGGTGGTACTACTTCCTCTTTTCTTTCATCCTTACCAGGTGGCACTATATCCTTGTCGTGAGCAGGTCCTGCTTCTTCGTCCTGACCAAGTGGTACTCCTACTTCTTCGTTTCCAGCTTCATCCTTACCAGGTAACGCAACTACTTCACTTCCAGCTTCTTCCATACCCGGCGGTATTACTACGTCTTTTTCAGCTTCATCCTGTACCGCTTCCTTCTTACTAGCTACTGCTTCTTCTTCCTCTGCCCCTTTGGAAGTGGACGTCTTCTCTTCAACCACTCGGCCTTGGCCGGATCCAACAGCCCCTTCGCCTCCGAAGATCTCGATCTCAAACTTCTCCGACTCCTGTGGCTTGAGGACCAGCTCGAACTTGTCGGATTCCTGCGTTATCAGATCAACCTGCTTCTCGTCCACTTGCTCTGATCCACTGTCAGCCGGGGGGGCAACGGAAACAACTTCCTCTTTATTTGCTGGTGCTGGTGAAGCGTCAGCTGGTGGAGATTTGTTAGACTCGGAAATCTCGGGTGTGCTCGGCCGCTCCTCCTCAACATGCTCGACTTTCTGTGGTGGGGCTTCGCCTCCTTTCACAGCTCCAGTGCCTTCCTCATCAGCACTAGTGGGATCAAGCTCTTGCTTCTCGATCTCAGCAGGAGCAATGACACCACCAGCATTTCCAGATCCTTCCTCCTTGCTGCTATCCTCGGCTATTGTCTCCAAAAGGACCACGCCACCCTCGACCGCTGCTGCTGCCTTGTCCGTCGTCTCCTCCTCCTGCTCCTCGGCGGAGCTATCTTCCTCTGGAATCCGCTTGAGCTGCCCGTTCTCCTCTTCGTCCTCCCGCTCCTCGTCCTGTCACAACGGCAAAGACAAAAGGTAACCATTTTTATCTTGAAACATATCTCACTCACTCGCTCACTATCACCTCCTCTCTACAGGAGCAACAATTTTCTCTCTACCTTTGCGAAGAGCTGCTGGAGGGAACGATCTGATCCCTTAGCCGGGGTAGCAGCAGCTGGTGTAGACTCTCCAGGATGGCTATCCGTCTTGGGCTTTTCAGCTGGAGGATCCACCGCTACTGGCTTGCTGATACACTTCCCCATATTCGAATGGAGGGAGGGATACGGATTTGGCAGAAGCACACACCTGGCCGGAAAGACTACACCAAGACAATGGCAGCAGAGAAAATTCGAAGACCCTCTTCTAGTCCGCCAGGCGCAAGTCTTTAAACTCTGGCAGCCCAGCACTTAAAGAAGCTACTGAGAGTAAAGCAATGCTCGCCTCGGCCACCATTACCGTATCTCAGGCTTTGGATCCTCCCGGAGTTTCCCGGAGCACGGCGGCACTGGCAGAGAGTGGCACAGACAAGAGCGAGCTAAGATTTGAACAAGCTCTACATTCTTTCTCCCATTTTATTGCCACCATGGCCGCTGCTGTGCTGCGACTGCTGCTACTGGCCACTGGTGCCAGCAGCCCTTATGGACAAAACTCTGGTGGTTTTTTAGTATTAAACATTTTTTTTTGCTTTAGAGTGTTCCTTGTTCTTATTCTTATTGCTAGCTTTCAAGAACAGTACTTAGTATCAAACAAATTTTTCTTGCAGAAAGTGTAACCTTAGCTTGCAATCCAGCAACTTTGCTTCTGGTCGTTTTCGCCAAGATGCATAAAAGATAAAAACCAACCCAGCGCAGGTCCTTCAAAGGCAAGACAGGAGAAGCGTACGGACACCTGATCCTGAGAGATATGCTGTGTACGAATATCTCCTGTGGAAGAAAAACCCGCTTAGTAGCTCATGACAAGTCCAGCTCGAAAAGAAAGTTTTTAACTTTCCAGGCTGTACCCTCGTGAAAAATCCAGCTCACGCGAAACTCTGATCTTTCATTTTGAAAACACTCCTCCATGGATCTAGCAAAGAGCAGTCAGATCGATTTTTTATCAGCTGGAAAAAAGCTATCCCAAGTTACCTTGTTGCTTTCCATCGCTTGCTTTTCTCTTTGTGTGGTGTATGGAGAATGCCAGCGCCCTTGTTGACCCCCAAAAGGAAGATGGAGTCAAAGTTTTCACCTTTTTTATTCTCTTCTGGAGGAGTCTGGACAGAATGATTTCTCCGAGAGCCCAGAGTGGCATCGTGATGAGCTCAGGTAGTGATTTACAGCCACGCCAATTATCAGCACCAGTATCACCTTGATCACTCTCATGTGCTTCTCGTTTCTCAGCCACTTGAACTTTTGGCTCGGAAACCCCGGCTTCTTCCCTTCTGCTTTTGCCAAGAGTGAATGGCGTAAGAATGAGCCTGGAATGAATGGATGGGGAGAAAAGTCTACCCTTTCTTCCTCGCCTGTTTTTCGCCTCACAGCTAGCCAAAGTACAGTGCAAGAGCCGTGCTCGTCAGGGTGATCACGTTTTATGGCATGCTGAAATCGGGTGTGGCCAGTTGCATCAATGAAACTTCGCTATAAATTTGCATGGGACGCCGTCTCTGTAAAAGAAGAGCAAAATAGTCAGAACTGCTTAACACACGGCACTTTGGGAAAGTGATAAAAAGTTTGCATCCGGAGGATGCTTGTCGACATGAAGAAATCCGTGCTTGAAGAACAGCAATATGAAGATCTCTTCCAAAACAAACCAGCAAGATCACAAACCTTGTCATATTAAATTGTCAGACTTACGGCCTGGGTTGCAATAGAAACTAGCAGAGTCTATCGGAGCAGCAGCTTTGCGATCTTCTGCTGGTGTGAACCTCATAAGTCTGGCCACGCAGAACTCCTTGTTACGGCCATCCAACGATACAAACGACATACCACCGAATCATCTGGAGGACCATAATACATACCACAGTAATCATCTGGAGAGTAACAGTCCCATGAACCATCATTTGATCGACGATGATCCCCTTGCATTCCCGCTGCCAGCCAAGTACCGGCTTGTGTAGAACCGACCCCAAGCCGGAACCAAAACCAAGTGAACCAAGTGATGACCGCAGAACTCCAAGTGATGCCGAGATCCCCAACTTCATACTTGAGTAGAAGAGAGCCTTAAGGGGAGGCAAGCCGACTTAGAGCAGAGCTAAGACTGAAAACAATTGTCCGTGAAGTTTCTTCGTTGAGTCTCCATCTCCTCCTTCCCTTCCAGCTTTAAGCCAGTCTTGCACCTAATCTTCTGCTGCTGGCTTTCGCAAAACACTATCAAGGTTTGCTGGACATCTTTGTCTCGCCTGTCCTCAGCGTCACTGGAAGTGATATGAGAGTGATTTCGAATCCAAACATCAAAAGGCTCCACTCCCGCATAGATGTATGTGTTAACTGTAAATTGGTGTATGGTTGTCCATGTTGGTATGGTTTTTTTATATAATTTAAATGGTTATTCTTAAACTTCATATAATTTTTATAGCCCAGATATTGTATAGTTTTTATTCATTGTTCCAAGTGGTCATCTAAATAGTTTTCTAGAGCTTGTATACTATATGACTATTTATATAGATTATAATGTGATTAACTATTCATGTCACAACTGACTATCCAATCTGCACTAGTTTAGTACCCAATTCCTATGATTTTCCATTTGTAAAATCTATATTTCCTTTTTGTTAGTAGAGCTATTATAAGCCCATAGCAGCCAGTATCAAGCTGTAAAGAAATGATATCTCCAACTTGTGTACATTTGAAAATGTTAAATTGCCTATGTAAGTAAATAAAAAACTTAACATCACTCACCAAAATTTGTGAGATGGATCATCCAAGTATATAGGTTCTTGGTAGCCTATCAATACTTTTCAACCATTTTATGCATATGTTTTGTGCTAATATAATCTTAATAACATTAGGCAAACCTTCCCTAAATTTCCACTGTATCCCCAATTGAAACTCATATTATTTTATTATTGTTAAAAAGCACTTCCAAAATTATTTATGAAACCATATTTAAAACCATATGAAAATGCTACCAAGAGGTATCATAGTGAGAGAGAATGCAACTTCCCTCAATAAGCTCTTAATAGGAAGATGATTCAAAATTCATAAAACTATGTTAAAATGTGCCATTTAATGTGTTTTTCTACCTCTAGCCTCCCTTTAGAAATGTGACATTTAAGAAACAAAAGAATAAAAATAAAAAGTAAATACCAAGCCTTGAACATTATACTTAGCATATCTGTAATACTTTGTTGTGAAATAAGTTTCAATGTGGCCACTAACTTCAGTTGAGAAGATCTTGTTGACTAATGTATAACATACATTTCTTGAGAATTGAAAATATAAAAACATAATAAAAGCTATAAAGATTAACATACTTGGATTTATAACCACTACATTTGTGTTTGCCTTCAAGATAAAGCCATTCACACAACAGGTTGTGCATAGAGTGATATTTACTTTCACTGTGTTCAACGAGCTCCCTTTTTCCAAACTAAACACAACTTTACATTCTATAATTATTGCCTTGGTAAGTATTAAATGACTAATAATTATGTTTAAACATACTTTCTAAGTTGGAGATCCATATTTGCTTTGTTGTTTCCACAACTCTAAGGCTATGGATTGCAAGGGCACAATAACAAAACCTCTATCTACAAAATATCTCCTCATGCTGTTTTTGGTGTAACAAAGTAAGATCCTAAGATTTTCTTTAGTCTCTTCAACTTACTTTGCTTTCCTTATTTATAAATCATTCTTTGCAAGTAAAACCATACCAAAAATTAATTCATACCTTATATATTTTAAGCATATTATTTCCATAGCTACACATTAGTAGGGATAATATGCAAAGCACTAAAATCATTAAGAGTGTGTGCAACTTCCCACACTCTCCAGATGCTAGTACTAAAATCATTTCATTTTCCTCCATATACCATTGCCTTTCATTAGAGTTCTTTATATCACCATTGTTAACTATATATAGGTTTTTGAATTTGGATTTCTTGGGAGGTCATCTAACTTAGTATTACTCAAACTTAAAAACACTTAACCCCAAATATCCTAAGATTTTTAACCATTTACAAAAAAATGGTGCACTTTTGTTTATGAGTTCTTTTTTTCGACATCCTCATCAATGCATACTTAACCTAGAAAATTGTCAAATGAAAGCTAATAATTTAAACTTGTGGGAAATACATATACTGTGAGTGCCTGGAATATAGAAAGGGAATACAGAAATGTGCATATTAATTAGCCCAAAAACCTTAGCTTATATATAGGAGTGAGTGGTCCAGATTGAAACCAATCCGACGGCTACCAAAATCCCACTACACTAATATTAGTATACGGCATCGTAACCGTACACTTGGCCCTCACATCATCCCCTCCTCTCGGGATAATGGAAGACCATCAGGGTTCTCTTGAAGATGGGCCGGGGTCCGGAGGAACGTCAGGAGGAGGCATCGGTGGATTTGTAGGTGGTATTAACTCCTCCTGATCCCTTTGTACGAAGTGTTTTAGCTGTTGCACATGCACAATCTCTGGAGGATCGGCCTGCTGAACGTCATGCCGAACCTCATAAACTTGTGGTCCAATTTGCCGCAACACCCGATACGGTCCTTTCCATTGCGCAAGAAGCCCCTTAGATAAACCACGTACCATAAGATGGGGAAAACGGACTAACACCAAATCATCCACTTTGTACTCTGCAGGTGGACGATGATGGGAGTTGTAGCGCCGTTGTTGTCCCACTTGTACGCGGCCTAAGTGTTTGGCAGACTCTGCTCAGACAAGTGGAAGAATGCTTGTCAAATACTGATCCCATGATCTAGCATCGGTAGCACGTGGCAATCACGAAGGTAAACCCAGCTCCGTTGGTAATATTGGATCATGATCATATAAGAGTTTATATGGTGAAGCACTAATAGAACTCTGCACCCTTGTAACATATGCATACCGAAGAGACGGCAAATAACCATCCCAATCCAAATGCTGAAAGTTCACATACTTCGCAATCATCCCTTTGAATGTCCGAACAAGCCGTTTCACCAGACTGTCTGATTGTGGATGATAAACACTCGTGAAAGTGTGGCATATCCCCAACCGAGATGTCAAAACATGAAATGCCTCAGCTATAAATGCGGGACCATTATCCGAAAGAATCTGCTCTGGACAAGAATGCTGGAACACCACTCGATTGAGGAGGAAGTATCCAACAGCAGTTGCAGAGGCACTAGCAAGAGCACCAACTTCCACCCAACGAGTCAAGTAGTCAGAAGCAATAATAACATACTCATTGCCAGCAGTCGATCGTGGAAAAGGTCCCATAAAATCAAATGCCACTAACTCAAACGGATGGGAAACCGCAATTGACTCTAACCGTCCTTCCGCAGCACGAGGGGGAGTATTACGAGCTTGGCACCAAACGCAGCTACGCACATACCGGATAATATCATATCGCATCTCCGGCCAATAGAAAGACCTGCGCAGCTTCTCGGTGACACGACGGTGTCCCATATGCCCACCTAGAACAGGAGAATCATGGTAGGCATGGAGAAACCGCGGAATAAACACCGAAGGCACCACTAGCCGTAAATGATCATTAGGATCCGTCCCCACAAAATAAAGAAGGCCATCGTCAAGGCGATATTGAGAATGTAAATGCCGGAAAGGCAAGTCATCAGCAAGTGATGCAGGATTCTCAAACCCATCTCGAAGCCTC